CTGTTCTCACACCCGGGTGTTTCTTTTCTCTTTTTTTGGAGGGGGGGGGGCGGTGACGAAAACGACATTTTTTGGAGTGAAGTACCCCTTGCCTAACCCTCCCCGCCTCCTCTCCCGCAGGACATCCACGCCAAGCACGGCATCCCTCAGATGGACATGCAGGCGATGCAGGACCTGCGGGCGGCGTGCGAGCTGTCCAAGCGCAAGCTGTCGTCCCTGGCCGAGGCCTCGACCACGCTCTTCTTCTCGCGGTACGACATGCGCTACACGGCCTCCATCACCCGGGCGCGCTTCGAGGACCTCTGCGCGGACCTGTTCAACAAGACGATGCTGATCAGCAAGCGGGTCCTGAACGCGGCGCATGTGAGTCCGAGTGCGGTTGTTGTTTGGAGGACACGGCGCACACCACCGCTGTCTCTCTTTTGCGTTCAAGTTTCTCTGGGCCGATACCAGGCTTGCCGGGTTTGCCTACCGTTGGCTCCTTTACGACCTCCGAGCAAGTAGGCGACCCGGCCTCGCGCACCCGCGTGCATGCGGTTTAGTCTAACTTCGAAAGGGAAAAGTGTCCGTGGGCCACCCTGTAGGTAGTACAACCCCACTCACTGCTCGCCTCTGTCCGCCAGCTGCAACCGGGCGACGTGGACGAGGTGGTGCTGGTGGGCGGCTCCACCCGCATCCCCAAGGTGCGCTCGCTGTTGTCGGCGATGTTCGGCGGCCGCGAGCTCCGCCAGTCCATCAACCCGGACGAGGCCGTGGCGTACGGCGCGGCGGTCCGGGCCGCCATGCTGGCGGGCGACGCCGAGCTCAACAACCTGGTCAAGCTCAAGGACGTGACGCCTCTGTCGCTCGGCACCAACATCATCGGCGGCAGGATGAGCGTCATCATCCCCAGGAACAGTCCCATACCCTGCCAGAGGACGGAGACTTACTACACTGTCGACGATTACCAGGACGCCATGAACTTCAAGGTGAGGGTGGGAGTCACCGTGGTCGTAGCCTAGCTCTGTCTTCCTGCGAGGACTCGGCACAAAAGAACCCATTTTCTTCGTTGTTTAGGTTTACCAGGGCGAGCGCACGATGCTCAAGGACAACCACTACCTCAACAAAGAGTGCAGGGTCCCCGTGCCCCCCATGCCTGCCGGGCAGGCCAAATGCGACGTGACGTTCAAGATAGACGCGGACGGCCTGCTCACCATGACGTGTACGGAGCGGTCAACAGGTGTGTGGTCGAGTTGGTGCAGTTTTTGTGCGGTAACTTCCCCCTTCACTTACGAACTTACGAACGTCGTCGTTGAATGCGCAGGCCAGCAGCGGGAGGTGAACGTCAAGCGGTCCGAGGCCGCGCTCGGCCAGAGGGACATCGACGCTATGATCTCCAGGGCGGAGGAGTTCCGGAGGCAGGACCAGGAGGAGGCGGCGAGAGTCGTCCGCGACCTGCGCCGGCAGGGGCGCTGGGTGTAGGCCGGCAGGGTCTCTGTCGAGGAGTCGCGACCGCCCCGGTGGAAAATGTTTTTTTTTCTTTTGAAGAATGAAATGGGCTTCTTCCCCACTTATGTTTGTTTTCGTGTGACTGTGCTAGGGCTTCAAAGAATTCTTGCACAGATCAAGTGTTTTGCTTTATTCCATTTATTTATTGATGCTACATATGTTTATCAACAATTTTGTTCTAAGCCTGGGAAAATTAAAATTGCTGATCAACCCGACTAGATTTCTCACCTTTAAACTGACTGACAAACCGTTTTAATAAACTTCCACAAACTTTGACGTTATAGAAAAGTATCGGTTCGGCGATGAGCAATGAGTTGCAGTTTTCTCTCGAAGCTGGCCGTTTGGGACCAAACTTCAGCCTTGAGAGGACGCCCCCGAAAGTTTGTCGCATAGACCCAGCCGCTGAAATCAACGTGGCAGCGGTGTAAAATTTACTAATGGCTATACGCCCGCGTAGAGGGCGCAAAGTTAAAGTAAATATCATTTTACTTCTTACTAAGATTTTTTACGATTTAAATTCAAGTCAGATCTCTTAGTTTGAGTTTTAAATGGAAGGAGGTGCGGCGTTGCCACGTTGACCTCAGCGCTCAGCGTCTGGGTCATATCGTCTGTTTCACATTTCATGCGAGAGGAGACGGCATGCCGCCTGCCGGCCGGACTTGCACACCGAGCAGAACGGACGCAGCGAAAGAGCACGAAGGGCATATCTGCCCCCCCCCCCTCTCCCGTATTTGTTGTCTTATCTGATTCACCGTCTCCCATCTCACTTGAAGGAAAGGGGTTGCACTCCGTGCGTCCGTGCTGGTCCGTGCCCACCCCGCATTCTCACGAGAAAGGAGAGACGTTCTACCACCATGGAGGAATTCTACCACACCCGACAATCCGAGACCGAGGAGAGGGGGCGGGCGGGGGGCCGGACCAGACTGCACCCCCCCCCCCACTCCTGTCGCGAGCCATGAGTGAACATGAGCCCTCTCTCCCTCCGGATGTATCTGGATCAACCCCTAGAAGGGGGGAAAGGGGTGGGGGGGGGGCAGACGCGATCGCCTGTTGCTGCCTGAGGTGAGCCGCCGGGTCGGCCACAGGGGGGAATACCTCTGCGCTGCGGCTGCTGCGGCTGCCGCCGCGACGCGAACCGCCCGGGCCCGGCCCCCGGCCGAGCCGAATGCCATGCCATCCTGCCAGTCGCCAGTCAGTCAGTCGGCGCTGGCCTGCGTTGTGTGTCTACGCGCAGAGCGGCCGGCCGGCAGACGCGTCGAGCTGCGTTGCGTAGCGCGCTGTCAGGTGATACCGCACGAGCTGCAAGGAGGGCCTGAAGAAGTAGGGGGTGACATCCGGCAGCTCGTTCGTGAAGGGTGCGTGTGGCTGGGTGATGTTATTGTTGTTGTGATAATCAATATTGTCATTGTCATTTCGCTGCTTTTCGCCTGCGTGCGCGCTGTCCTGTCACTGCACCGTGGTGTCCTTTGTGGTCCACAGGTGCCCCGGACGCCGCCGCCATGGAGGATCTGGTGCTGGGGATAGACTTCGGCACCTCTAACTCGGTGGTTGCGGTGTACAGGTGAGGGCTGGTGAAAGCCTACCTACAACCCAACCCACTCTCTTCTCGTCACGCCTACACTGTAAATCTGGGGTGTCCAGCAACTGTGCGCTCTAAGTTGCACGACCCAGGTTTCTGTGCAACTTACAGCGCACAGTTGCTGGACACCTCGAGTTTTGCCATCCTATCGCTGCAGACGGGCCCCGGCAAGGGGTGTCCAGGCACAGGACGCCCTACCGAGGCTGGGCCTGGACCCTTTGCAGGGAAAGGGTGGCAAAACTCGAGGTGTCCAGCAACTGTGCGCTGTAAGTTGCACAGAAACCTGGGTCGTGCAACTTAGAGCGCACAGTTGCTGGACACCCCAGATTTACAGTGTACTCACTATCATGCCAGAGGCGTATTAAGGGGAGGAGATGTATCGAAAGTTGCCTACATACAGGTTTTTTGTGCGCCAAATTGCCTGTCTTCAGGCGGCTGTCTAGTGGACGACGGAGGGGGAGGGGGGGGGTCCCCCCCCCACCCGTGCCCTCCGTTGTACCTCCGGCCAATCTCAACCTCAGTCTAATGTCTCATCAATCTCAACGTCCGGTTGTTCTTCCGTCAACAACAGCAGTTTGCAAAAGTACCCCCCCCCCCTCAAGAAAAAAAAATCACTTTGTCACTGGGATGTACCAAGAATTCCTCCACATGCTCCGCATCTGACATCCGTCACGTCACACAGGAGGCGCGGCGACAGAGAGAGAGACGGTCGGGGCGATCATGACGAGGAAGGGGACGACGGCGACGTGGAGGTGCTGGCCAACGACATCGAGGCCAGGACGACGCCCAGCTGCGTGCACCTGCACCCGACCCACAAGCGACAGGTCGGCGAGGCCGCGCTCCGGATGACCTGCAGCGACCCGAGGAACACAGTGCACAGTGAGGGTCGCTCCCATGTCTTCTGAACCGTCTAGTCTACGGCCAGCCCCTCTGATTTAGACGACTGTTGTGTTACAGATGTGAAGCAGGTTCTGGGGCGTACATTCAAATCTGCACAAACTACATTTCTATCGCCACCCCTAGGCAGTGTGGACGTGAAGAAGTGTACCGAGCGGAACGCTTGCGTCCTAAACATGCACTACCCGGAACTTCCTCTCCCGCCGCGGGAACGGACTGTTCATCCAGAGGAGGTACAGTATACTTCAACGTACTTACTAAATATTCAATACGCCCTTCAGACGCCTCATGGTTCGGCAAATTTGTTGCCCCTCTCCCCCAATACTCAAACGTGCGACTCTGCACGTCACTGCGAACTAGATAGGACAGCTATTCTCTCTAGCTATCTAGCTGCAAGTGAGAGGGGCTTATTTCTTGTTCTCACGGTTGCCCGCGCTTGTGGGGTGTCTATCTCCACCTGTCCGACTTCCCACCTCTAATCAACGCGAGGTTTTCGTGAATGGACTACCCCCTCCATGCCCCATATAGGTCGCTGCAGCCATATTCCGTGACCTGAGGGAGACGGCCAGGCTCCGGTTGGGCCAGGACGTCCGCCGGGCGGTGATCGGCGTGCCGTCCTACTTCAACGCGGCACAGCGCGTGGCCGTGATGCAGGCGGGTAGGTTCTAGGACGCGTCGGCATGGCGCCGGGGAAGTCCGCTTTGTCAAGAGGCTGATGGACGTTCTGTTGCAGCGGAGCTGGCCGGGCTGAGGGTGGAGCGGCTATGCGACGAGACCTCGGCCGCGGCCCTGGCGTACGCAAGGGTCAGCCCCAAGGAGGGCGTCAGGAAGGTTGTGATCGTGGACCTGGGCGGCGGTGGAGGCAGCGCGGCCGTCGTGGAGGTGCAAAGCAGGTCCAGGGTACGGGTGTTGGCGAGCTCGGGCACACGGCTGCTCGGCGGCGAGGACCTAGACGCAACCATGCTACTACTCCTGGGGGAGGTAAGTAAGTGCAGGTACTCAGCATGCAGGGTCACATGTCCCCAACTCTCCTCTTTTGTCCCCTTTTCAATTTTCCCGTCACACCCACACACACACTCACGCCTAAACGCCCTCGCCCTCGCCTTGACACTTTGTATCATGTCTTTTAGAGAAAGAGTTTCAACGATCAAGTCTGGGAAAAGCTGCGTTTACAGTGGAGAGAGGCAAAGAAGAAACTCTCTTTTTCTCATCCTTCTGCAGACATTAAAATTTTTTCAACAGAATCAAAAGAAGAAATTTGCTTTGAGGTGACACAAGAGGACTTAAAAAAGCCATTTTGTGATTGGTGTGAGGGAATCATCGAAGGGATTAGGAAAGTAATGATGGATGCAAATGTAAGTATTTGTCCCTTGGAATTATTTCCAGGCTACAATTTTTAAAAATGTGTCTCATTTCATTTCCGGTTTCAGATTGATATGGGGGAGGTGAAGGATGTAGTCCTAATGGGTGCGTCAGGCCGTTTCCCCAAACTTCGCATGGAAGTTGAAAATTTATTCAATAAGAAGTGCTGCAAGATTGTAAATGCCGATGAAGGGGTGGCAATTGGAACTGCTCTCCTGGGAGCAAGGCTGGCCTCAATGACTGATATTACTCCACTCCCTATTCAAATCAGATACACCACATATTATTTTAAGCAGAACGAAATAGAATCTACATCTGCTCAAACTGAACTTCCCCATTCTATTTACAAGCACACAATGATTGCTCGTTACATAGAGGTTTGTAGTCATTCATTTTTGTTATTTCTTACTGCTCTAATTCGTAATTGTTTCTATTTGATTTCCCTACTGTTACTTTTCTGCAGATTTTTCAAAGTGTTCCTAGTTCAGAAGGCAATGTTTGTCATTTTAAGTGCTATGTAAACCATGATGATGAAATTCATATTAACATAAATGGTATTTTTGAAAAAATTGATTATCTGCGGAGAAAGAAAAAGCTGTGCATTGCTACCAGTAGCAATCTACCAGAGGAAATGTTGCTTTTAATTAAGCAAAAGGTGACAAAACAGGAAAACCTCAACATTGTAGAGTGCAGTCGCTTGGAAAAAAGAAACCTACTTGAAGAGAAACTGCGCAGGATCCTTAGTCTCTTTG